GTACCAGCTGAACCACACTGTCTGGGCAAGGTTATTATTGATAGGTACTTATTGTCATTGTTTTCTTTGTACTATGTTTCTCACTCTGTGTATTTTTTTCTTCTTCTTACAGCCACTCCTTTAACATTTCTTGCTATTTTGTTTTTTTAGTAATGAACTCCTTTAGCCTTTTTGTTTGCTTATTTGGGAAGCTCTTTATTTTGGCTTCAATTTTTAATGATAGCCTTGCTGGATAGAGTATTGTAGTTTTCATACCCTTGCTTTTCATTACCTTGAATATTTCATGACAATCCCTTGTGGCCTGAAGTGTTTCTGTTGAGAAATCCACTGAATGCCTTATGGGAACTCCCTTATAGGTAACTAACTTTCTCTTTTGCTGCCTTTGAATTACCTTAGTCCAATTTTCAGTGATTGGCATTATTCAAAGTTAAACTGAGGTCCTTTTGAAAGCTTGTCTACTTCCCTTCACTTTGACTCTGAGGTACAGCTCTTTCAGCATCACAATTGAAAGACATTGGGATTCACCATGTATACCCCTTAGCAAGATTTAGATTTCAATATCTGCCTAGTCTCCAGATGCTATACAAAATTTTGCATAGCTTCTCAACAGTCCCCTCAATAACTTTATGTGCTCCACCAGAAAAAGTTATCCTAACATTAAGCTCAACTGTCCCCACTATTATTTTGAGCCAGTTATTCTTCACTTTCTTTTTGTTTTGTTTTGTTAATCCTCACCCGAGGATATTTTTCCATAGATTTTTAGATAGAGTGGAAGGTAGGGAGGGGGAGAGAGAGAGAGAAACATCAATGTGAGAGAGACACATAGATTGGTTGCCCCCTGCATGACCTATACCGGGGCTGGGGATTGAACCTACATCCCTTGACAGGAAATAAAACCCATGACACTTTGGTCCATGGGTCGATGCTCTAACCTCTGAGCCAAACCAGCCAGGGCATTCTCTGTCTTGATAGCCTTCTAGTGCCTTCAGGATAATTAATAAAAGATGTTTTGTCCAGCCTGGACAGTGTTGCTCAGTGGATTGAGCATTGTTCCATGAATTGAGAGGTCTGGGTTTGATTCCTGGTCAGGACACATACCTGGGTTGCGGGCTCAATCCCCACTAGGGGGCGTGCAGGAGGCAGCCCATTGATTTCTCTCTCTCACATCGATGTTTCTCTCTCTCTCTCACTTCCTCTTTCTTTAAAAAAATAAATAAAAACATATATATTTTTAAAAGATGTTTTGTCCAGCTTCACCACACCAATGGAAGGATTGGATTCCTCCCATTTCCCTATAATTCACTATTGAGACCTTTTGGTAAATTTTTGTTGATATATACCACATGTGTGGAAAAGTGCACAAATTCTAAATGTGCATCTCAATAATTTTCACAAAGTGAGCAAGTAACAAAACATTAACAACACACTGAAAGCTTTTGCCACTCTTCCATCTAGTCAATCATGCATCCCAAGGGTAACCACTATTCTCACTTGTAACACCATAGATTAGTTTTGCGTGTTTTCTAAACTTTATGTAAATGAGTTTACACAGTATATATGCTTTTGTACCTTTTTTTGCTAGCATTGTCTGTGAGATTAATCTATGTTGTTACATATGTATTATTTACTGCAATTTATGAATATAAACCACATTTATAAATATACTGTATTTTATTTATACATTCTACTGTTGTTAGATATTTGGGTTATTTCTAGTTTGGGGCTATTGTGAAAAGTGCTAATGTGAAAATTCTTTTTTTTTTTTTTTTGTTAAGATGTTCATCTTTAAAAAACATTTTTTTTATTAATTTATTTTTGTTACAGATGTTTTTCCTTTTTCACCCATTGACACCCTCCTTCCAATCCCCCCCACCCCATCTCCAGAATTGTTTTCTATGTCTATTGGTTATGCATACATTCATATAAGTTCTGAGGTTTATTTCTTCCTTCTCCCCCCACCCGCTCTTCTAAGGTTTGTCAGTCTGTACCCTACTTATATGTCTCTGGGTCTATTTTGTTCATCAGTTTGTTTTGTTCATTATATTCCACAAATAAGTGAGATCGTGTGATATTTGTCTTTCTCTGATTGGATTATTTCACTTAGCATAATACTTTGTTAGGTCCTCCTAGGCTGTCTCAAAGGATAAGAAATCTTTCTTCCTTATAGCTGCATAGTATTCCATTGTGTACATGTACCACAGCTTTTTTATCCACTCATCTATTGATGGACACTTGGGCTGTTTCCAGATCTTAACGATTGTACATAGTGCTGCTACGAACATAGGGGTACATATATTCTTTCTGAACACATGCATATATTTCTGTTGTGCATAGAGTCATCAGTTTTGTATATTTTTAGTCAAGATTAAGATTTGGAATCTGGAGTATAGTGCACTCAGCAAGGTAAATGCTGCCTTGTGGATGCTTGTCTGGAAAGCCAGGATGTATTGCTCTAGAGACAGATGTGTTCATTGCTGTCCTATTAACCTTAACATTTGGCATTGCAGCTAGCCTGTGCTTTACTTTGAATCTCATTATCAAAAATAACTAGCAGTAACATTTTGGCAAACATCATTCAAGAAAACTTTTTATACATAAAAAAGCATGTACAAATACGTATTTGAGCCCTGGCCGGTTTGGCTCAGTGGTTAGAGCATCGGCTTGTGGACCAATGCATTGCAGGTTTAATTCCATCCAAGGGCACGTACCTTGGTGGCGGTTCGTCCCCGGTCCCATTTGGGGTTGTGCAGGTGGCAACCAGTTGATGTGTCTCTCTCGCATCGATGTTTCTCACTCTCTCTCTCCCTCTCTCCCTCCTACTCTGTCTGAAGATAAATGTAAAAATGTCTTCAGGTGAGGATTAAAATATATATATGTATTTAAGTCAGTATTTCCAAGAAAAATGAGCAGACACAATAAATAAATATTTAAAATCTCTCTTTCTTCATGCTTCATTTCATGAAATCTGCTTTCTCATGGTTCAGAGAAAGATGATGGATATTAGTAGCTGAAAGGAGGGGAAATGAAGAGATGGGCTATTTCCCTGTATTCTAGGAGAAGACAAATAATTATAAATAGAAACAGTTGCTCCAGGAAATTAGAGAAAGGCAAATTTCAGCCAAATGGAAATGCAATTTCTTTTGATTTCTAGTGTTGGCATAGAAAAAATAATGAATGATAGGTGTTTTGTGCTGGAGAGAAGGGAGAGAGGCTGGTACACTCTTGCATCACTGCTGGAGGGAGGAAAATTTGAGGACCATGGCTCATTGGTGACATGTATTACAGGTGACCAAGAATTATGGAGAGGTATTTTTTTTTTTTTTTGGTCCAGCCATCAGCTCCCTGTTGACCTTGGAGAGGTTTGTTTGTAGCCAAGTGAAAAAGGAAAACACTATTCTGGCTGTGTGCAAGATGGTGTGAGAGTGCACATTGTCAAAGGATTCACATCTCTCGCTCCCAGATCCCACCATCAGCTTTCCCTCTACCTCACACACCATTTAGAAAAATAAGACAAACTGGTGGGTATTTTGCAGGTGTAGGAAAAACTGACTTTGCCCCTTCAGACCTCTGCAGAGTCCGGAATCAGTAAAAGGTAGAAACTTTTACTTACCACACAGCACTAAATGCTCACCAACCCTTATCTGTTAGATTGTTTGCTGTCTGTGGGGGGGGGGGGGAGAGGAAAAACATTATGGGATTTTTTTTAGTAGAAACTAAACTAAAGTTTCTACTAAAGTAAAAGGAAGAGGAAGAACATTATGGGATTCATTTAGTAAAAACTAAAGTGAACATTTCTTCAAGGAAATGTAGGACCTGAATCAGTCACAAGGGGGTGGTAGAGGCAAGCGCAAAATCAGAACCAGCTTATCCACTCCTGTCGTTAGAAAAATATTAGCTAGTGCTCAACCTTTAAAAAAATTTATGGCTCTGGGGAAGTAGCTTCAATATCTGTGGGGCAGAAATGAGGGGTAGAACAGAAAAGTGGGAATTTGAGGGGAGAGATATAAGTCAAGAGATTGGGTAGGGGCAGGGGAATGAAAAAGATGGGCAATTGTCAGAGAGAGGAAGGGTGGGGAAAGTAGCTGGAGGGAAGGGTGGAAAATGTGCCTGAGATAAATGGGAGATATTTCAAAACTACAGTTCTCACTCTAGAGAGAGGGATCATATGTATATCTATCAATCTCCATTCTCTCTTGTCTGTCTACCTGTAGACGTAGATCTAGGCAAGGAAGGAATGAAATTGCTCCACACAGTATAAATACCCAAGAGGGATGTCTAAGTCAGAATATAGGGTCTAGAAGCAAATCAGCTTCTCCCTTTCCCAGTCTTTGTTCTCCTTCGTTCTCACGTTGGTACAGGGAAAGTAAAATGTTATACATCTGATAAAACAGTGGGAACAAACTCAATGAAGGTAAAAACCAAAGTAGAAACATTTAAAAATTAAGATACTAAATTAAAAAAAAAAGAGAGAGATACTCATACTTAGTTAACCTGAGTTTTGACATGTGCATCTGTAGAGACTCAGATCAAAGTTCTGTATGTTTGCATTGCCACTAGTAAAATGTTGGATGGCAGTACAGTTTGTGACCAGGAAAAGAGGATCCAAAATCTTCTTCCTAGAACATCACAACTAGATGGCTTTTTCAAGCTCGGGAACATTTTGTGACTTGTGATAGATGTGGGATATGCTCAAATTAGATATTTAGTGAAAGCACATCTGGAGACTAGGGCTAGAAGTTGCTAGTGTTCACCCTCTATTCAGGAGAGAGTGCAACCACAATAAGAAAAGAACAGAGGAATAGGGAACTTCAGACAGGGGTGAGGACATGTAAGTGCTCTGGATCTTAGTCAAAGAAACAAGAAAAGCCAAATCGTGAGAATGAGGCTGAAAACAACTGCAGGCATTAAGTACCCAAGGCTTCCCCAAAAGGACATGGTCCCAATGAAGAATAATCACGATTGGCCTAATGGAAAAGATCACTTTTTTGGTCAGGCTTAAGATATTAAAAATGTCACTTGTGTTCTTGGCCTCTCGAAGGGTCCTTTCATTCAGGGGAAAATGTTGTTTGCTCAGCCCAAGGATGCTGGCTTTTCATTTAGCCACAATATCAATAGTCATTTGGCCAGCCTCTCCATTGTTGGAAACACGATCCCCACTCTCAACCCCACTGTTAAGGAGGCTTTACGTGCCCTGGATAACGTGAATGCCAGTGTGGAAAATCAGGGCCAGATTAAAATGTACATCAATGAAGTGTGTCGGGAAACTGTGTCACATTGCTGCAACTTATTTCTGCAGCAGGCCGGATTAAATTTGTTAATAAGCATGACAGTTATTAATAACATGCTCACCAAGTCCGTTTCAGACCCGAGGTTTCCTTTGATATCAGAGGGGAGTGGATGTGCTGAGGTTCAGCCTTTGAAACCGTTGATGGGTTTGTCTGAAAAGCCAGGCTTGGCAGGGGACTTTCTGGGTCCACAAATGCTGCTCTCATTCATGTCCCTCTTTATCAAGAATGGAAACAGACAGGTTCTTCTGGACACCCTGGCCTCTTAAATGGCCATCTCGAACAGAATGGGACTGAATCTACCCGAAACCTGTTTGGTGAACACGCAGTTGTGTTCTCATTCAAAGACTCTGCAGTGGGTGCTATAGAAGGTCCTGCCCTGGCCAATCACCACCTCATGGGGTGGAAGTTACACTTGCTAAACCGAGGACCACACTCTTACTGGACGGGCAAGGGTTCCCACAGAGCTTTGAGGAACTTCTTGGTTTTGCAGTCTACAGGCAATGTGCACTGTAAATTGCTCCCTTACTTCTTCCTGTGGTAAAGGGCTCGTTTCAGCTGCCAGCTGTGGATAAAGCATCATGAAGGATGCTTGCCTGTGGTGGCCTCCCTGTCTAAGCTGGACTGTTTTGTGGAGACCAGACACATATCAAACCTTGTGCTGAAAATGCATTTGTTGCTGCGTAGGTTGAATTCTGTTTCGTTTACTCTTTCTCCTACACCAGCTGATGGATGGTGAAGCTATTCATCAGAAAAGTGCACGCCCTTTCTATGTGCTGTACTGACTTAACCTCATCCACCCAAGTCTACATTTGTATAAACAGTTTAATCAATAAACTTGTGTGCTTTGACTGGCAAAAATGAGACATGGTACTTGTCCTTGAGTTGACAGTCTGCATGAAGAGAAAGACAAAACTACAGGACAAATGCTAACTAACTGGGGTGGGGAGGGGGAAAGCGAGGCATCGAGGCATTTGCTCTGACAAATGCACTCATAGCAGTGCTCACAGGAGGCAGGGGTAGAGATGGGCTTCAGTGTTCAGGATAAACCTCAACAAGGGGTTGGGGGCTGAAGGAAGGTGGGGGTGTGGAGGTAGTTTGGTGGAATTAGGATAAAAGGTCGGGAGGACAAAAGGGGACAACACCTGTGAAGCAAGCAGCACAGTGCCTGGCACGTGGCACAAGAAATCTCTTGATGAAGGTGTCTCCTTGACTGCTGGCCTAGAGGGGAATGTCAGTATCCTTGGGTTTGTCTACACATCTTGGGGGCCACTGGAAAACCCATCCCTACACATTTAGTGGACGATTATAGCAATAACGGCTTCCACTTGCTGAGTACCTACTTTGCGTCGTTCTCTCTCTTCTGGGAAGCAGCGAATAAACAGACTTCCAGGCCCTCTCTCTTCCTTGGGATCCCCAAACCAAATCCCTGGCAGAGTGAGAAGAGTTGGGTGGCCTCTGCTTCCCTTGGTGGAACTACCTTTGTGCGTCATCCCTGGTAGCTTCAGTGCGATCCAGGAAGGGGTGAGTGTAGTTCTCCACCAACTTCTCATGGGCATCATAGGGCAGACACTGAGGGTGCTTGGAATGTCTGTGGCTGTTCCATTGATCAGGAGACACTTCCTCCCCTCCATCCAAGTTTCCAACACCCCTTGGAAGAAAGGAAGAGCCCAGCCCTACCCACTGAATCACTCCACGGAAATGGGCAACTCATTTCCAGGCCCGTATCAGCAAGCCTTAGCCCATCACCAAAGCCAAGTTCCCTGCGTGTTCTGGATGTGTCAGGCAATGGTCCTGTTCCTCAAAGCTCTGGCCAACTCAGTGGACAAGAAACTTCCCTTGGACAGTACTGCTTCTGTGCCCGGTGCCCTCTTCTGGTCTCTTGGCATGCTGCTCTGAGCCACTGTGCCCCAGGCATCAGTGCTAAGTGCTCTGCCTCCTGACTATTCTCCATAGAGAGCATTGTTTTATTTTAGTTTTTCTCCCTTTTCCCATAGTGTGGGTTGCAGGTGGATTACAGCTCTCCTGCTTGTACCCATTGCCCTGTGCTTCAGGCTGTCTAGTGGGCATTGGTGCCTGCCAGGTCCCCGGGCCATCTCGGGGATCCCCCAACCGAGAGCAGGGACATGTCTTCTTCCCAGGCCCTGGTACCTTCGACAGCTGGCACATGAATTGAGGTTGCAGTGACAGCACACCCCCAACAAAGATCATCCTCCCCGGGGCCTTTTTGCTGGCTCTGGGGCCCTGTCTTGTTTTCTAAGAGCCGCTAATGCGACCATCTTTTTCTCCCAAGCAAGCCTCAGGTGGGCTGGCCAATGTTTTTCACATAGGATTGCCCTGCAGACAGCTCCTGCATCCACTTGCCCCAGGGCAGTCAGCTTGGCCCATGCTGCCTTCACTGACGCCTTACTGCTCAGCCTCTTTAACCCGAGCACAAGGGCAGAGGGCTTTCTCCTTCCTCCTGGCTCAGGAGCCCAAATTAATACACACCTCCCTACTCCTCTGCACTCTGCCATATTCCCCTTTGTGTTCTGCCTCAAGCAGTTGTCCCCCACCCCAGAGGCAGGCAGTTGGTGCTTGCAGGCCATGACTGGTTCCCAACACAGGGAGAGCCTCCAAGACTTTCTGCCCATCTCTGTCACGGGGAAGTCTGCCAGCATTGAAGTGTCTCCATGGTGTGGCCTTGGCCCAACTCAAGAGCCTCCTCTCCATTTGCTGGCACTGCCCTTCCAAAGACTCTCCCTGTGTCTGGAAGCTCAGCCTCTGGTCTGCCCTTCATCCCTTGGTGGGTTGCTGTGCCAGGGCAGGAACCCAGTTCCCAGTGGATCCTGCTGGGGGAAGGGGAAGGGAGTCCGGAGCATGCCTGCCAGTCAGGGTCCGATTAAGATATTCAGAAGCTATCAGCACTGGAAAGACTATGGTGCCCCCTCCCATACTGAATTCAAAGTGGAACAGCAAGAGACCTCCAAGCACAAAATGTACCTACCTTCCTGCTGCGACTAACAGATTCTTTGTGGGCTTCCCAATGGTAAACATTTGACATGGTCATCAAAGCTTGAGCTTGTCACACTCTGTGGAAAGGTGCCCTGCCCTAATGGGGCTGCCCCAGCCTAAGCTGTCTCTTGTGTAAATCTGGAGCTGCTGCCACAGACTGACTTCCTTCTAGTCCCAGAAAGGACTTTGGTTTTCCTTCCTGTTCATCTCATTATTACATCTGCATTTGGTGCCTGTAGACATCACATTAACTCCCAGCGTCCTCCCCAGCCTGCTACCTCTCCTGGGGATTCTGTAGTTTTGCATCACCCCCCACCGTAAGTGCAATCAATGTTGCAGACATCCAGCTTCCCAGCTCATACACCCAGCCCCACACTCTGCATCTTCACCGTGCCACTCTGGAAGCAGTTTCAACCACAATCCCCTCATGGACAGGTACAGCCCTCACCGAGTCAATCTCAAAGCTGCCATAGCACTACTTGGCTAAGAGTGACAGCTGGCACTGCCCTGTGGAGGACTGGCTCCCTACTCCCTTCTAAGGGCCACTGACTGGTCTGGGATCCAAAGGGGTGCCGCTCCAGAGTCCAGAATAGTCTTGCAGAAGATTGGCCAAGCCCTTGTCTGCTACTCATGATGCATGCACCACCTCACACTTTGTCACTCCCTCCACTCTTTGGCAGGTAGTGATCCAACTTTACTTCTTTTTCTAAATGGATGACCAGTTAACCCAGCATCATTAATCACTCCATCCTCATGTTGCAGAGTAGTACATTCTGGGATCCTCATGCACCCTGCTAAGCATCCTTCTGTGGCCTCCTGGTGTTGAAGTCCCTCCTGAGGCACACCCCTTTCTCCCAGGAACCTCTAACTTAGGAACCTCAGATCCCTGGGTGGTCTATGGCAGGCCGGTGTGTGTGCTGGTGGGGAGGGGTGTGTTGGTGCTTGTCAGCAGGCTTCTGCCCCGGATTCCTTCTCAGGAAATAGTCTGGCCCACAGGACACTTAGGAAATAGGACACCCCGCCTATTTCACACCACTGGAAACTGGGGACTGGTTTCTTCCCTCACAAAAATTACTTTATTTGTGTGAGAGAGAAAAGCAAATCTTTTCTATGTACGGACTTGCTATCCTTATGATATCCATTGACCACATTTGAAATATGGTGATTGTCATGCAGTGGTTTCTCTCAACTCTTCCCTTGATTTTTTTTTTTTTTTTAGTGGCATATTTGATCAATCTGGAATTTAAATTTTTTGTCAATATTTTCCTATTGAACCTTTATATTTTTATTTTACTTTCACACTCTATGCTTATTAGAAAACATTAGCCTATATTTCTTCTTATTATAAATAGTTTCATTTTTAGAGTTAGATCTTTTAAACTACTAATAGTGTGTGTGTGCCCGAGTATTTGGTTTGAGGTAGACTTTGTACCTAAATGTTTTTCAATTATATAATTAATTATACTAATGTCATTTATTGCAGAATCTATTTTTATGTTTGATTGAAATTATGCTTAGTTTGTGGATTAATTGGCAAGGATTAGCACTACAATTTTCCTGTTTAGGTATATTTATTTAGATCCTTCTTGTCGCTTAGTGATTTTTTTAAATAACCATCTTTCACTTTTCTTTTTATGGTTATTCCTGGGTATTTGTCTGTTTTTGTTGCTGTTTGTCTGTGGTCATGGTCTTTACTTTCTTCTACAGTGCTATGCTACTTCAATCTGCTGTCCTTATCCTGTGTGCCACCACACTAGATTTATCTGTGGTTTCTGCTACTCTTAGAACAGCAGTAAAAAACGGAGATGATCAAGTGCCTCACCCATCATTACTCCTAAATAAGAGAGAAGGGGAAAAGGACAAACATTAAGCCCTATTATTCCACAAATGCTCTTTCCCAGAACTCTCCCTACAGACTCTTTCATTTCTTTCATTGTACTTTTGTATTTTCTTTTCATGGAGTAGTTCAAACTGGTTCTTCCGGTTCATTCAATCATCTTTCTTTAACCCTGGCAAGGTCTCTATTAAGTCTAGCCATCAGTGTTCTATTGTTCTTTGTTCTTGGATATCTGTATATGGGATTATTTCGAAGGAAGGAAAGGCAGTCTGATGGCTCAAGCGAACAAATAGGCCCTCCAAATAACCATGTCACACAATCACCTCTGAATAAATATTTACATCTCACAAAGACCAATTGTTAATGTATAAATATATATATCCAGAATTCTGTATATTTTTTATTATAGAGGACTTTAATTTGGGTAGTTGATGGGTTTGATGACTTTCTCAACTGGGGAGGGCATGTGGAGGAAATGGAAGTGATGGAGAATATTTGAACCAGACTTCTGTCTCAGCCTTTTCTACCCCGCCACTTAGGCTGTCCCATGTTGGACCCCACATGTTTTATTGTTATTGTTGTTGTTTGTTTGATTTTTTAATCCTCACCTGAGGATATTTTTCCATTTATCTTCAGATAGAGTGGGAGGGAGGAAAGAGAGAGAGAGAGAGACATCAGTTGGTTGCCTCCCTCATGACCCCGACCAGGGCTGGGGATCGAACCACAACCGAGGCACATGTCCTTGACCAAAATCGAACCCACAACTCTTTAGTCCGTGGACCAACGCTCCAACTGCTGAGCCA